AATGCTGAGAAATGGAAAAAATGGAAATAAAGTCTTTGTAAATAGGGAAGGGTAGAGGGAGTGAAGGGAGGGCTAGGAATGGGGAAAAAATAAGATGCATCATGTAAAGGTACAATTCCCAATGAGAAATGTAATTGTGTTGTATACCTACAATGTACCAATAAAAGAATTTAAGAAAAAAAAAGAAACAATAAATCTAGATAGAATCACCTAACATTTGTTAGATCCTACCATTTTATGTGAAAAAAAAAAAAAGAATTCCTACAAGTCAACAACAGCAACAACAAATGGGCAAAGGATTTGAACAGACATTTCTCCAAAGAAGATACACAAGTGGCCAATGAGCCACACGAAAACATGTTCAACATCACTAATCATTCGTGCCCACCAAAACCTAATGAGACACCCCTGCAACACCCTGGGATGGCTTTTATACAAAAACAAACAAATGAACAGAAAATAAAAAGTGTCGACGAGGGTGTGGAAAAATTAGAACTCTGTACATCTCTGGTAGGAATTTTACACAGTGCAGCCACTGTGGAAAATGTATGATTTCCATTCATCTGAGTGCTTCAGCTCACAGGACAGCATGGCACCATTACTGCTGTGAAGGGGCAACAACACAGGCCCCTGAGGCTTTAGGAAGCCTACGGTGACCCCTTCGGTGGATCTTCATCAGAGCTGAAAGAGATGCCTGTTCTTGATGAATGCTGATGCCATCAGCCACCAGCTCAGATTTGCTTCCAGCACTAACCCAGGTGTTCGTAGTGCCAGGGAACTGTGCCCCATAGTAGCCCTACCTGGGGACACATTTCATCCCTCTTAATAACTTAAATCACCTGCAGTCGGGGAGTGTCTTCAAGTGTCTCTTGCCATTCCATCACCCAGCATCTACAGAGTCGGAATTGCAAGCTACTGGTGGGAGTGAGAAAGGGCAAAGTAGAGCAGAGGGAAGCCCCTCTGAGAAGGATCTACACACAGGGCAGGAGGGCATGGTGGGGAAAGGGGCCCCTGAGGCTGCCCAGAGCTTCGATGAACAAAAAATCACACAGCTCTGGACCCAAAATCCTGGTGGGAAAAGATGCATCTTCCAGAGGCTCTTTCAGGCTGGGAGACAGCAATGCTGGGAGAAGCCAGGCCCAGGGAGAAATCCAGGAACAGTCGTGGGGAGATAGGATCTGCAGCACCACAGCTGCCCTGCCCTCCGTCCTGCCAGCCACTCTGCCCACCCTTGGCGCAGGGCACCAGGCCAGCTGTCTGCCTGCCAGACAGGGACTGGTTCTTGTCTTCAAGACTCATTGTGAGATCTGACTTGCAGTTGCTTTTATAGTCCTGGAGTGATGAGCACATTGCAACAAATGAATACGAGGAGAGCACCAGGTTGTCAAGAAAAGCGCGTTTATTAGAAGGTGGCAAGGGAGGGCTGGCACTTGGAGAATTCAGCAGCAGAGGAAGAAAGAGACCCATAAAGGAAAGGACGGGCAGGGAAGGGTCTGCAGGAGGCTGGTGGCCAGGGGTCCAGTGCATCTCTAGGCCGCCATATGGGCTGCTCCAGCCACTCGGTTCTCGTTTTCAACCTGCTTTTCTCCAGTGAACCCTGGCCAGCTCTGAGCGCCAGGCCCTGTGTCCTTGCTCCTTTGGTGTCCCTGGGGTCTAGCGCACAAAGGAGTTGCAGGGGCCACAGCGGGGGCGAGGGACACAAGGTGTGCAAGGGGCAGGGGGTGGGCAAGGTGTGCAGGGGTTGGCGACACAGGGCCCGATTGCCTTGCTGCATGTGTTGGTCGTGGCACAGGGATTGCAGGGCAGCCTACAAAGAAAGACAAAGGTGAGCTGGAGGGACACAGATCCTATGCCAGAGAGACTCATGCATGGGAGGCCTCCAGGACTCAGCCTGGCCCAGAACAGGAAGGCCCCCATGCCCCGTGCAAAACAAGCACGTTGCTCATACGTCTGCTGTGATAGAGCAGTGCCCACGGTGCACACAGAAGCTCTGCAACCCTGACTTCTACCCCATCTGTCTGCTGCTAGCTGATGACGTTGGTCGAGTTACTCAGCTTCTCAAGCCCTACCTGCCTTACCTATAGGATACGGAGATGGTAATCCAGCCCAGCTGGTGCTAACATTGAGGCCAGATGAGGGTGTGCAGAGGAATGGACCCTGCACCCAACAGCCAGTACCGCTGCGCAGGAAAGTTTGTATATCAAACAATTCTTGCTCTCAAGCAACTTCACCCATTTAGTGATGGGCCTGTGAGCTCCCTGGGCTCTGACTGGGCCTGACTGTGGGGAGAGCACGACTTCCTTCCCAAGGTGCACACCCCTGCAGAGTCCAGCTGAGCCTCGCACCCACATGAGGCGTCCCCAAAGTCACCACCAGCACCCCACTCAC